TTGTTTAATTATGTTTAAAAAAGGTACATATTCTAATATGTGTTTTTTCCTGTGTTCCACAGGGGGGCTGAATTACAACCTTTGTGGGGTTGCTCAATATGTGAATCTAGTAGGCACAAGTGTTGGATACACAATCACTTCATCCATAAGTATGGCGTACGTAAGCTACTAATAAAAATTAAACTCAAATTAATATTCTCTTTTTTTTTTACTGTAAATTAATGCTCTTCTTTTTTTTTTCCTGATTTTCTCACCCTTTACATACATGTAATATTCTAATAATGTAAAGTTTATTATATACAAAAAGTAATTTTACCATTTGATTTACATGTGAGCGTGTAAGTATTTTACACTTATGAGACATAATGAAAATAAAATAACAAAAACATGAAGAGCAATTCACGCATTGATACTTTGATAGAGGTAGACTGCAAAATAACATTCTAATAAAATAATCATTTGAAGACCTATAAAATTGAAAAGATAGTTTTTTAAATTCAAATTAAGGGTAAAGCATGGTCTCCTCACATTAACTTATAATTTGTTCAATAAAATTCAATTAGATGGGATTTCTTTGTCCATTTCCCTGATTTTTTTTTTTTTTTTTTGTGTATTAATGCAGTGCAATTAAAAGATCAAACTGCTTCCATAAGTATGGGCATGATGCGGGATGTCATGTGTCAAACAACATATTCATGGTAATTTTCGGCATCATACAGGTTGTTCTAAGCCAAACTCCCAACTTCCATAAACTCGACTTTCTCTCCATCCTCGCCGCCATCATGTCTTTCGGATACTCTTCCATAGGCCTCGGTCTCGCCATTGCCAAAATTGCAGGTCAGAACGATTAACAATTCCAACTTAAGTTAACAATTGCTGTCTTAATTTTGATATTATTTGTCCTCGATTCTGCTTTTAATAATTCCCTCTATCCCCCACAATATAATAGTAGTTGTTTTTTCATATTTTAAAATAAATAATAATTTTTTATTTTAATTTTATCATTATTTTTTAATTTTAATTATCCATTTTATGAGAAAAAAAGTTTATTCATTATTATTATTCTAAAAGTAGTATATGTTAAAACATAAATTGTGCCAAAATATCTCGATAAAGATAAAATTAAAAAAAATTATCTATATATTGGGACAAAGGCAGAAAGGAAAATGATTGAGAAATTGAAATATATAGAGGCGAAAGTTTTGTGGGATATATCCATGTGCGAAAAAGTGGGACCCACAAGCAT